TGCTCTTGTACAGATTCTGACGCATGCGGCCATAATTTCTAGCAATAAGTGCAAAGGCCTCATTAAATTTAACATCATCTGACATTGAACCTTCATCCCAATCGATGTCTGCACTTTGATATGGAGCAGCAGCTTTCAAGACCAATCCTTTATTCTTCACCTTGTCATAATCATTGTTCATCTCGAATGTTCGAAGGTCGCCAAGAAGATCATCAAGATCTAGAGGCATGACTTGTTGACAACTTTCAAACGCAATGATTTTTTCACGAATACGAGTCGAAAGAGTCCTCATGATCTTTTGAACTTGTCGGGTTTCAAAGATGTCTTCACCCAATATTTCACTTTGATTCACAAGGTCACAAAACCTCGAGTAGTACGTGTCAATGGTTTCGTCGTTATGTCATCAAAGGCCAAAGTTATACGTTGAAGCTTGGAGGATTTTACCGTACTTGACCCTTTGAACTGACGTTCCAAAACACGCCATGCGTCCTTTTCCGTGGTGCATTAGACGATCATCTTGTGTCAAGTCTGATCAACCGCCATGAGAATGGCATACAAGGCTCGAAAATTAGCCTCTTCTTGCTTTCTCTCCATGTCAGTCCATATGTCGATTGGTTTGAGCACTTCATCGGACGATCCAACGTCATCGCTTTTCTCTGGGGCTCTCTTCATCATCCTATGTTTCAACCCGTTCTCTATACTTTCCTATGCGCCATTTCCCAATGAACACAAAAATATGGACATCATTGATTTTCAATAGGGATAGTTCGACCCGTCAAACTGGGGGGTCGGGACATAGATCCACCGTCATAATTCCTTGTAGTCATCACATGCCACAAGATCTTCGTAATTGAACGAAAACCCGCTCTAGTGCAAATTGAAATTTCAGGGAAGTACACAAATTTCTCGCTTATACTAAATACAATGTAAGTTCATGTAAATTTGCGGAAGTAAAAAAATAAAAACGAACTTTTAGGAGAGCGTCCCACTCTCCCTCAGAACTCTTTCATTAAGCAAGTGTTTGGCAAACAACTACAAATAGGATTTACACGCATAGACGCCCTCTAAGCTAACCTATTTTGTACCCCACCTACCTAACTATTTTTCTTGCCACATCGTGGACTCACACTGCACGTATGGATCCCTCCAAGAAGTATGAAGAAGCTCCTCCCAAGCACCAAGTAGAAACGAAAACAAAACTGACAGCTCGAATTACCAGCAATGAACCAACATGCTGGAATTCGATTACTCTATAAAAGGTAATAAAAATTCAGGATCTCTCAATGAATAAAACTCTAAACTCTCTGAAAGAATAATGGAATGACGCATTTTCCATAAGAACTCGTGAAACTAATATATATAAACTATATACGGTATGCAAGTTCATCAGAAATATGGAGTTTCTAAATTTACTTGATCTTCTCCTTTAGCTTTCGAAATTAAATCTCCATGCATTATAAGACTACATGCACAAATATCCTACCCAAATCTTCCAGATTTCAACTCGCATCTCTCTCTTCAATCTTGCGAACTTTCTTGCCTTATTTCCATGTGAACCTTCGGAAGTATCTTCTTGCCCTATTTCTTCCCTTTTCTTTGCTCGATTTTCCAGCTCTCTTCCTCAAAATTTCAGCTTTCTAATCTCACAAGAATATATTCCTTTTATCATAATTGCTCTTCATTTTCCTACAAGTAAAAGAAGACAAATAAATAATATCATAACATATAGTAAGAGAATATCAAAATAAGGAAAGTGAATATATTTAAAATCTCCTAATGAATCTAATATCTTTCCTTTATCTACAAGCTAAAGGAAGATAATTAGATCCAAATACACAATAGGAGAATAACTAAAATATGGAAAGTTAAGATAAAAAGATCTTCCCTTTCTCTTCAAGTATTATTTCCTAGATACATATTTCAAATAACACAAATATGATAAATAAATTAATATTTTCGATTAATGTCAAATTCAATTTTTTTACAGATGTTATTTGTGTAATTATAGAGATTTAAAATTATGATTTTAAAATCAAATTAATGATAAAAATATTAAATATTTTTAAAAAAAAGTAGACAATACTAAAAAAGAATAGACCACTTTCAAATTAATGATAAAAATATTAAATATTCTTAAAAAAGTAGACAATACTAACAAGGGTAACAAAGAATAGACCAATTTCATAGTATTTGGAAGGATATATGAAAACTATTATACTATTTTTCAAGAGTTGGAGTCTAATTAGTATTATTATTGTAAACATTGCATTTTTTATTTTTTATATTTTTTTGATAAATTCCAGTATGTCATTTGTTTTGATTTTTTAGAATAATACAGTTTCATATTATCTTTTAATGCAAATAATATTTAGTTTGATTTTATATCAAACAATCTAAATTTTAACTATCATTTAATATAAATAGTATTTTAAATCAATGTTGGTAATCTTTACGATGTAATGATTGTAAAAATGTTAGAAAAATAAATACAATTCCTATAGCAATTATTCCACTTGATTTTTTCACCCCAAACTAAAATTTCCCAACGCCCCAAATAAAGAGTTCCTAAGAGCATCACCAAGAGTCTCTCTATTTTAGACTCCTTATTTGGAGAAATAAGGAGTCATCCTATATCTATTTGCTTCCTATTTTTTGTTGTTCTCCAAGAGTCTCCCTATTTTATAATTTAAATTTGAACCAGGCCCACAAATCTATCTAAAAGCCCACTTGAAGCCGACTTGGACTTGGACTTTTGGCCTCAACTAATAAACAGGCCGCCAGCGATCAGATTTCTCGATCCCAAGGAGGCGGTCAATTACCTACGACTCTACGAACGCTCGGCGCCTCACGTCAGGCCAGGGAGGCGATCGATCATATTAGGAAAACACTGCGAATTAGGCCCTCCGACGGTGCTATCATCAGCCATGGATCGTAGCTTGATTATGCGCATGTTGGATGAGTCATCCTCCGATGACGACGATGAATGCATCGCTGTTACAAAAGCACTTCATGAAGTATATGAATCTCTGAATGCACCGGTTCATGTTGGTTCTGTACTAGGGCATAAAGTTCTTGATCGTGAAAGACATGCAGGGTTTTTGCGATTGTTCAAAGATTACTTTGCAGATGAACCTACATATGGGCCTGATATTTTTCGTCGCAGGTTTGCATTTAGCTAATTTATAACACATTCAATGTTGATGTTGGCCACAATGTATATAATAATTTTTTTTGTTAAACGTGCAGATTTAGAATGGAGAAACATGTTTTTCTACGCATACTGAGGGAGGTCGTAAAACATGATAAATTTTTTGAGCAGAAGAGAAATGCAGCGGGTATACTCGGATTGTCCCCTTTGCAAAAGGTTACTGCAGCATTCCGTATGATAGCATATGGAGTAGCCGCGGATGCAACTGATGATTACTGTAGACTTGGTGAAAGTACTGCTGTCGAGAGTTTGAGAAGGTTTGTGAAAGCCGTTTGTGAAGTTTTTGGTGTGGAATACTTAAGATATCCAACTGTCGAAGATACCGCCAGATTACTTGCCATTAATGAGAAAAGAGGATTTCCGGGTATGTTAGCCTCTCTAGATTGCATGCATTGGAAGTGGAAGAATTGCCCTTCTGCATGGCAAGGAATGTACTGTGGCCATGTGCGAGAGCCAACAATTATTCTGGAAGTCGTGGCCTCGAAAGATCTTTGGATTTGGCATGCTTTCTTTGGTTTACCGGGGTCTCATAATGATATCAATGTGCTTCAGCGGTCTCCACTCTTTGCCAAGCTTGCTGAAGGTGAAGCTCCAAAGGTGAACTACACAGTCAATGGTCACAACTATACAATGGCATATTATCTTGCAGATGGTATTTATCCTCGATGGGCAACGTTGGTCAAGACCATAGAGAGACCACAGGGCAATAAAAAAAAATATTTTGCAACTGCACAAGAGGCAGCTAGAAAGGATGTAGAGCGAGTATTTGGTGTTTTGCAAGCTCGCTTTGCTATTGTTCGTGGGCCAGCTCGGATGTGGGATGAAGAGACACTAGGATATATCATGAAGGCTTGTGTCATCATGCACAACATGATTATTGAAGATGAGAATGTGGAAGATCCTGACTGCAATTATGAGAATGTTGGAGATAAGGTACAACCGTCCCATGATCCTTCACCTGAGCTTGCTGATTATATTGAAAACGTCAGAAAAATTCAAGATAAAGAAGTTCACTCGCAGCTACAGGATGATTTGGTGGAGCATCTTTGGCAAAACCATCCCGATCTTTATAGTAGAGGTTGATATGTGCATTGCCACAACAACTCGATCACATATTTATGACTTAGATATAAGAACAGTTTTTATTAGATATATTGTTAGTAGATATAGTGTTATTTAGATATATTGTTATTTAGATCAATTAATTATTTTAGATAATTAACTATTCTCAACAATGCTTATTTCTGGTTCTATTTTTACTAATGTTTTGTCATGTAGTAGTTTACTATGTGAACAAAAGCTGCAAAATATAGTGATCATTGTTTTGTCATGTGGGTCTCGGATGATTTTAGAATTGGTTGTAAAGATTCTGCCCCTGTACTTCATGGATGATGTTGCAAAGTTGAAGAATTAATCGCACGAATATATTACTGGAGTTCAATCCAAAATAGATAGGATAGTTCTGTTTTGGTTATGGTTCATTAAAGGATCTTCCAAGATCTTTAATGATTTTCTTTTTCTGTGTAGTCCTCTTAATGCGAGCAGCAGTGTGTACAATTTGTTTGTTGATTGAGACTTAAGATGAATTAACAGATAAAAAATATGATCAATCATTGAGCCACAACGGCAACAAGTCACAAGGATGAATTAACCATACGAAGTCTTGACATCTTGAGACTTAAGATATAAAATGGGAAATAGTTCACATATTCCTAAATAGATGCTATGATAATAACATCATCTCTGAACCAGGCACTAGCATTCTTTTCCATCCTTCATTCAAAAGCAAACATCATCTCTCAACCTGAGGCATGGAACGAGCAGCGATTTCCTTCTGGCGGTTACTGAAGTAGATTTGCTGATCGTATGTCAATGCAGTAAGATCCATGCTCATGATCTTGTCTTCCTTGTTGGTTATATTGAACTCAACCTGCTTCTTCTTCAGTGCAATTCGGTCTTGTTCTAGTGCAAAAGCTTCTTTATACCTCTCCTCTTTCTTTCGCTCTTTTTCAGCTTCATACTCTTGTTTCTTGGCCCAAAAAGAAGCTAAAGCATCACTGTATGCACGATCTCCACCTTTACGTAGTGCTTCTTTCGCCCTCTTCTTACCCGGTGGTCTCTTTGGAACTCCATCTTCATTACCTGCAGCCTCTTCATCATCTACATGCTTGCTAGTAGAATCACCTGGAGTTGCATCTTCAACAACCTTCTTTTTTTTCTGAGATGACTTCTCTTTGGAAGCTTGCTGCTGTAACCACTTGGGGTGATTACGCAATATGGACCAGCAATGAAGGAATTTAAACTCCTTTTTTTCTTGTGACTCGAACAAAGTTTTTGCTTCCACAAGCTGTAGATAGATGAACAACATCAGCATTTCCAATATAGACAAGCAGAGAGTTAGCATTGTGATAATGAGCAAACATTTACATTGATTCACTTACTCTTTGCTCAATTGTCGTTCCACTTTGCTTCCTAGCCTCGAGCTGGGCAATACATCCTACGAACTTGTTAACATGCTCTTGAATAACACTCCAACGATGCATTAGAGAGTTCGCATTGCGACTAGAGGAGAAGTCTTTGTTCTCGTGGAAGTAAGCATGAATCCTATTCCAGTATGTGGTCCTTTTCTGATTGTTTCCTTGCACCGGGTCCATACTAATGTTAAGCCATGAATCCACCAATAATACATCCTCATTCTTCTCAAATTTTTTCGTTCTCCCTTTGTTTCCTTGCAAATTTGGTGATTGTTCTTCGTCGGGACTGTTACTCATTCCATCCACTTGATGTCCCTCTAATCCATCATTCAACAGATTGGTGTAATATCCATTGAATTCAACACAACCTGTACCAAATACAATGCCGATCAGCCAAGCACATCAAAAATATTGTTCAGCAAACACAGCAATCACTCATGAGCACCAAATATTGTTCAGCAAACACAACAATATATAAGCAATATATAAGGTATGGCACACAGCATCTCTGTATCATTTGGTTCACACAGCAGCTTTGCTTGCAACTCCTTTAACTAAACACCCAAATATTGTGAGCCCACCACTTATCTACCATTTGTTCTGTTGTTTAATTCATCTACTATGTATATAAGAATGTGAAAACAAGAAACATTTTAGAAGTCAGTATCATAGCTTATCCATAAAGTAAGCTTGGATAGCATAAACAAATTCCAGAAAAAGCTATGACCTTCACTTGTCAATTATCAAAACCAGAAAAAAATCCAAGTCAATATATAAACAAAGATTCAGATACAACTTAATTTGCAATCCCTATTGCTAAGCAAGTATAAGCACGACCATAAAATACATTGAGAAGGCAAACTCCAGAAAGTTTAATATTAAGTGACACTATGTAGAAAAATTATCAATTATCATGTCCTGTAGAATGATAAAATTGTATAACTCATTAGCATACGCAATATTCATGCTTCATCAATTTTCCTTGCATCCTGTATTTTTTCTTGTTTAAGTAAAAAAAATACTTTTTCTTCCATGAACGTGTTGATTCATCTGCTCCTGCTATCGAAATTGCCAAGGAAAACGTTATTCTGAACAACCTTGATTCTCAAACAATATCTTTTCTAAGAGAAGATGCTACATAGAATTCGAGCATAAAAATTCCTGTAGAACATAGAATTCGTTAGCAGCGAAATCCACAGGCCCAGAAATCCTATTCTGCTGAACATTAACAATGAATCGAATTTGTTTCTGGGGCCCCAATTTCTTGTGATCTTTTTTGGCGCAGTACAAGTGTACAACTACATGAATCGAAAGTGCGAAATTTACATACATGAATCTTACCATTTCGTCCTGGGGCGTCGCCGGCACCATCCATTCGATAGTGGCGGCACCTTTCCGGCGGCGGTGGAGGGCGGCGAGGATGCTGCGAGCGGGCGGCAGTGGAGGGCGACAAGGGGAGATAAAAGGAGATGGAGAAAAAATACCGCGAGAAAAAAAAAAGAGCGCCTGTGGAAAATTAAGGCGGGTAGAAGAAATGGGGGGTCTTTTTCCCTCCCCAAGAATGAGGAAGATAAACCTCTATTTGAGGACATCTTAAAAATAGGACTAAGTTTAGGGGAATTGTTGGAGACCATTTTTTAGAAAAAACCCTATTTTTGAGATAAAAAAGAAGAATAAGGAAGCTATTGGAGATGCTCTAACATAAATTTAATTATATATTAATTTTTAATTGAATGCCTTGTGACAAATAAATGGGTAAACCATGTTACCATTGCTATATTTTCCCGCACCATCCTCCTATATATTAATTCAGAACGTGTTGAGTCTAAGTGGCAGACTCGTATGTTTCGGGATCCTATATGACAAAATTACATATTTCGTTATTAGGTTTGGGTAGACATAAATTTAATTTCAATCCAAAAATAATTATGTTTGGATCCTACTTTTGTATTTTTTTTATCAGTTGTACATATATATATTATATCAAATTAAGCATCTCTTGATCTCGTTCTTCTCTCGCGAAACCTTATCCCTAATTTTCTCTCGTCGATCTTTGCCAAATCTCCGCCG